TCTCAACTAAGAACATGCCTACATGAGATTGCCCTGTAGTTAAGTCCCTAAGGCATGGATGTGGGAGGCTCTGGCTCTGGTTCTCTGTGAGCAGTGTGACCCTTGGGCAGATGGTATAGGGAAGCAGGCTGAGCAAGCCATGGGGAACAAGGCATTAAGCAACATTCTTCCATGGCCTCTGCTTCAGTTCATGCCTCTGAGTTCCTACCCCAACTTCCCTTCATGGTGGACTATAAGCTATGGATGAAATAAACCCTTTCCTCCATGTGGTGGTGTTTGTCACAGCACCGCAAACTGCTTCAGTGTCTTCCACACTTTCCGCCCCCTTCTGCACTTGCTGGCACAGTCTCACTTCTTCTCTTCTCCACTCACGGTCACTCTCTGCTGTGGGCTGGCAGAAGCCATGCTTAGGAGAATTTTGGTACCTATGGTCTGGCTGCCAACTGCCATTGGAGAAACCAACAGCAGAGCAGACAGTGACCACAACCCCCCCCCCCGGACTTGCAAGACACCTTCCTTCTTTCCTGGAGACGTTCTCTCACTGTCTGCAATGCTCACTCACATCCTCTCAGGTCTCTTTGGCTTCATCTGCAACTTCCTCCGGTGCTTCTACTCAGTTGACAGAAAAATCCCTCATGGGAACTATGAACGGTCACTGAGACACGCTGACTTCTTGCACTTTTTGGGACTCCCAAGCCTCCTACCCTCACCCCCAGGCTTCTCTTATTCCACCAGCTACAATGTTCAATATTTTCTCCCCATAATCAATCAATCCATCACTCTCACAACTCTCCTGCTACTGTCCAGCTGCCCGTGTCTAGGTCTATGACAAGGTGTCCCTTCCCAACTTTGCCTCGATGGTTCTACAATACCCACCCATGCCTAACTTTGGCCATACAGCTCTCAGCATGTCTGCAGAGGGCCAGCCACATGCCAGGAATGGTGCTGGTCCATGTTTTCCATAAGTTGGCATTGTTCCACTTTGCCCAAATAAAGTCCGTAGTGCTGAACATCTGGCTAACACCGTGTCCGAAAGGCCTGCTGTATGGCTCATTAGCCTAGATTCATTTCCTTGCTGTCATAGGGTCTTTCTAGGAAAGCTTTCCTGATATTCTGACTTCTTGTGGACAAGAGCCTTTGCTTTCTGTCACTGCTGAAATTGAGTCTGTGACAAAGTGACTGCCCACAGTCTGTTCAGATGGAAGCTCTCTGAAGGTGGGCCCTGTCTCTCTATCATCACTGCACCCAACACTGACAGCCTTCACTGGCACTCAATGTTGACTACATAAGACAGGAAATCACATTTTTGCCATCCTAGCTATCCCAGCATTGTTTCTAAAGGCTGTGCATAAACTGTCATGGGCTTAATGTGTTCAAGGTATCCTTGGCTTCCCCGAATGCACATCTAATTTACTTTTCACAATTGCCCTTCCTTCAGACTTAGAACATTACCTTTTTGTTTCCAGATGAGAAAACTGGCACAGAGAGGTTAGGTGACCTCTCCAAGCTCACACAGGCAATCAGTGTCTATGTCAGGGTCCGTCCTATAGCTGGTTAAACGGTGGCTCTCAAATATTGTCATAAGTCATAATTCCTGAATTCTGAGAGTTTCCCTATTTGGAACAGGGGCCTTTGCAGCTGTAATTAAGGATCTTGAGATGAGAACATCCTGGATTAAGGTGGGACCATAAGTCCAATGATGAGTATGTTGGGGAGAAGGGAGCATAGAAGTGTGGAAGAGTCATGAGATTGGATGAGTCTAAAAGCCAGGAATACTATGACTTACCTGCAGCCACCAGAATCTGAGGAAGGCCAGGAATGAAATTTCCTGCAGAAGGACCAATTTGGAAACACCCAGACCTCTGATATCTCCCAAGTACTAGCTGGGCCCATTCTACTTAGCTTCAAAGATCAATGAGAATGGACATGTTCAAGGTGGCATGGCCATAGATGAAGATTTCAGACTCCTGTGTTCCAGAACTGTTGGGGAGTCCATTCCTGTTGTTTAAAGCCAGGTGAAAATTGGCTATTCAACCCTAGGGATGAATTCTTTCCCATGGCTTCTTTCCCATGGTGGTATACGGAGGATTTTATTGACAGGCCCAGAAGTGAGGGAAATAAATGAAGTCCCAGGCTATGTGACTGTGACCTAGTTATTTCCCTTCTATGGGGCTGATTGCTGTATAGTAAAACGAATGCTTAGGACATGCAATGTTTCCCTAACCCTCTAATCTGTAGTCCTTGAGAATAGCCACGATAGGGCTGCAGAGATGGCTCAGTGGTTAAGAGCACTTGCTGCTCTACCAGAGGCCCCGAGTTAGGTTCCCAGCACCCATATTAGACCGCTCACTTTAACTCTAGCTTCAGGGGTCTAAAGCCCTCTTCTGGCTTTTGGGGTCACCCCTTCTATGTGGCATACACTTACACAGACACATAAATAAAAATACATTTTTAAAAAGAGGAAGAAAATCCATGAGCCAGACCAAAAAGGCTCTGTTGGGAATTTTCAAATTTATTCCAACGTGCTATTTTTTTTTAAAAAATATCTTCAGGCTGAACACTCAGCCCAAGCTGTAATAAAGGCAATTATTATACTTGTAAAAACGTCTCATTCACAGTACAGATGGGATTTACAAGGGTCACACACACCAATACTGAGCGATTTTTTTTCCTTTTGTACAACAGACACTGTGCTTTAGACCTGCGTGGATTTCTGTATGAGTTTTTTGTTGTTGTTGTTTTTCTTTTGCACTGATGAATACCATACCGACAACTGCAAGACACAAGTGTAGAAACTGGAGTTTAAATAAAACCACAGGCAAAACTACCCCTCTCCAGTGCGATTGCTGTACATATCTACAGTACAAGTTTTGGAATGTATTGCCATTTAAGAAAGTGGAAACTCTCTACAGACGATTTCACGCACAGAACGCATACACCTTTTCAAAAAACAAAGGCAAAGATTTATCTTACAGGGCGTGAGTATCTTACATTTGCCTATACGGTTCCCTTTCTTCTTGACCACCACATTTAGTAAAGTGATCAGTAGTGCCCAAGCAGTTTTCAAATGCCAAGCAGACAGGGACCACAACACAGAAGCAGATTTGGCGGCACCGACTTTGGGAACTATCTTAGACAACACGACAGAGCAGATCAGTCTCCCAGGACTTGACCTGGAAGAGTCAGCCAGAGCAAGGACTAGAAGGAGACTTCAGATCAGACATATTCCTTCTTCCTAGTCCACTGGGCCAGGCAGGAGCCAGCAATACCTAGAGGAAGCTGGGAGTCTACGCTCTTAAGAGGTTTCCCCACTGAGCCAGGCAGACTTTGTGTCTGGATAATAGGCAGCTACCTCTGTCAGAACCCCTGGAGGGTCTTGGTGCCTGGGACCAGCGAGTCGGCTATAATGGGGGTGGGAAGAGGTGGGCCTGCCCTTGGTGAGGAAGGGGTTAGTATTCTGAATAATGTAAGGTCACCCAGTAAAGGGCATCTAGGGGTCAGGCCTCAGGGACAGGTGGCTTGGAACCACCACCCATGGAGAACAGGATTTGACTTGAGACCTTCCCAACAGTCACAGGTAAGGATCAGAGACAGTCTGTGCCAAGGAGTGGCCATCTTGTTTTGCTGTGTGTCAGCAGATCCCACACAGATGTCTGAACTAGGCTGTCATCACTGACAATAGTGTCACAGGCAGACTGCAAAGTCGGAAGTGGCCAGTTGTGGGCAAGGAGCCCAGACTGTATTCCTGGAGTGAGAGGTTTTCCAGAGGGAGAAGGTGTGTGCAGCCTGGGGCCATGTGCTTGGGGGATGGTGGAGAGAGTTTGAATGAGATTAGAGCTGTGCCTGGTAATGGCATCCATTGCAGCCCTCTGGGCATCTGTGTGGGGCACTAGTCCCCAGGCTAGAGTCTATCTGTGTATTCTATCCCTGTCACCTAGAGACAAGTCTCTAATTCCTAGCTTTGTTATATCCCATTTCCCTGAGTTGGCTGGGCCCAGTAACTGTGGGGACTCTCCATTCTGTGATCATACCGTGTTTGCCACTAGACTGCCAAGGGAGAGAAAGAGAGAGAGAGAGAGAGAGAGAGAGAGAGAGAGAGAGAGATGAGTCAGGAGAGTAATACTCTGGAGAGAGAGAGAGGTGGCTATCTCAAGGTCAGGAGCTAGCCTGTAGTCTGTGAACAGGAGATCTTGCCTAGGGAGCCATCAAGCCTGGGTTGAGGAGTTCAACTCCTCACCTCAGCTCTTAGTATCTCCAATCTGTGAGGCCTGATTAGGGCTGAGGGGCAGATGGAAGGAAAGCTGTGACCTCCAGCTTGTGCTGACCGGAACTCAGGCTTTTACACCCTTCCTCCCAGTGTCCCAGCTGGACTTGACAGCTTCTCCCAGGTGTGCCAGAGACTTACAGCACGTCAAGCATCTGAAGGTTGTCAGTTTGATACCCATGACACCCTGTAGCACAGCACAAGGCACAGGAAGCCCTGGCTTATGGACTCTTACTTTTTAAGTATTGGATCAGACACTGAGGACAAACCAGGTGATTGGCCTGGGCACTGGGCCTGAGGCTGGCTGATTTGACCATCCAGCAAGGACCACACATGTATGGGCACAAACTGGAGAGAGTGAGAGGGTTGGCCCAGGATGGTGAGTTCACAGCCTTGTCTGTATCTTCTCAAGTAACAGTCTCAGCATTCACATGCCCTGCCTGATACCCAGCAATAGGCCTGTGCTTTGAACACTGTGACAGCAGTATCCAGCATGGCTGGAACATGCTTTGTGATTTGGGGACAAGGCTGTAGGAGGTGCCTCCTCACCACTGTCCCTCCCTCTCTCTCTCTCCTTTGGAGAAGGCAAAGAGCATTTCTGTAAGGTCTTTGAAACAGTAACTGTATTTTTTTTGTTTGTGTTTTTGTTTTTTTTGCATTCAATGGGTCAAGTTCTATATTTCAACCTGGGATTTAAATTTTTTGGTCCTATTACTTTTTCTTTTTGTCAAAGCAGGTTTTGCCTTGGGAACTGGAGAAAAATTCAAATGACTTGGGACAATTCAGAAATCTTCCAAGTTGAGAGAAGGAAATTTGAAGAGATTGGAAAAAGTACCAAACACCATCTTTGGTTTCTATGTGTGTGTCTATGTGCTCATGTGTAATCCAGCCATGAAGAAAGTGCCTGCCTGCCACACTTTGTTTCTCGGGGACAGAGGTGAAACAGAATTCAAACCCCAGGCTCAGAATAGGCCTGGACTAGGAATATCTCTAGTCTTGCCATGGTTCCTTCATCCTCTGGTATTTCTAAATATAAAGGAGCCAGTCTAGGGCCAGGCCCAGGAGGCAGAGACCCACAGGTGTGTAGCAGAAACCTGGACTCCTGTATTAGCCCTGGGGGAAGGTGAGTACAGAGGGAGACGATGAGCCCACAGTCCACACTGCATCCCCCTCATGCTATTATTCTGTACTGAGATGATAGCAAAAAGCGGCCTTTTGTCCTGATTCTCACAAAACATAAGAAAAGATACTGTTCTTAGGGTGGGAGGTGGTGAAATTGGTTTCTGACTGTATTGGTATTTTTCTGCCTCGGAGTTCTGGTCATTCTTCAGAGAGCAGTAGCTACTAGCTGGGTATTTACATGGGAATCTTAGGCATCTCTCTCTAGAAGTGCTTGCCTTTGAATTTAATTATACTTTTCCCATGCTCTTTTCTTCTTTCCCTCAGTGCAATGTAACTTCTCATGGGCCTTGAGGTGGGACAGTTGCCAGTGTGGAGTGTGGCTGTGGAGGTGAAGAGGCCCCTCCTACAGCCCTGTCCCCAAAGCACAAACTCGTCACAGCCTCAAGCTCCTCAGGGGTGTTTTGTTTTTTTATGGATGTGTGTGACTTGTGTTGTTTCTTTTCAAGCAACAAAAGGTCTAGAAAAAGGCACAGATAACTGCATATGTGGAACAATATAACAGATGGGTCTGAGCAGGAGCTGTGTGGACTGATGGACAGATGGACAGACGGGAGAGGATGCCCATGGGAGCAAGGTGACTCCAGGAAGTTGGCTGGGAATGTCTGTTGCTGAACACTGGAAGCCAGATGAAGCGGCTGGAAAGGCTAGGTGCTTGGGGGGCCACTGTCTTTGGGCAGGAATAGAGGTGTCCTGGGCTCCCCACTATGTAAGAGCTCAGGGGAGCCTTGACGGGTCCTGGGTTCCCCAGAGAGGTTCCTGCTCCGGGCTGGGAAATGCGAGGAGGCCTCTGCTAGGCAGTCCATGGAGCTGCTGCGGTCCATTGGCGGAAAGCTTGAGGCCTTGCGGTTGGCCAGTGTGTGTGATGACTCCAAGAGGGCGCTCCAGGATGGTGCTGCCTGGTGGCCCCGGGGCAGCTGTGGGGAACAGGGGCTGTGTGTGCCCATGGGTTCTGCAGGGGCTTCAGCCCTCTGAGGTTCCCAGTCAGGAGGTCTTCCTGGGCCTCTGCCGGTCCTTTCCTCCTCCAGCTCTGAAGAGAGTGTAAACTTGGAGACCTTGGCCACAGGGGACACTGATGCTGAAGGGCTCTCTGTGGGACTCCAGCGACTGCGCTCCTGGGCCTCTCGGGCTCCGGTTAGGTCACTGCCACCCCCTGAGAAGCCACTGACCCAGGCTGCACAGGCCCCTGGAAGCAGTGTGGGGTGGGCTCCTGGCCGGGCCTGTACCATCTGGATCCCACCGATGGGAATGAGGGGGCAGGGGGCGCGGCTCAGGTGCTGGGAGTGCAGAGGAAGGTGGCTGAAGAGGTTCTCCTCACTTCGACTAGGGAGGTGGCCATGGAAGTCATGAGGGGCAGAGAATGGTCGGGGGAAGACAGGAACAGGGCCAGCTGAGCAGGATGGACTTCGGGTCTCAGTCTTCTGCTGGGGTCAGAAACAAGACAGGGAAAGGCAAAGGTTACACGCTTGGCAGGTGCAGAACTGAGGTCTAGAGTCATCGAGGGCAGGCCGGCCTGAGATCAGAGTAAGGTGGATAGTGGAGCTGGAATCGGGACTCCCATCGCAGTGCTCAAGAGCTTCCTATGGGCAACTTAGAAGTAGATGTTGTTCCTATAGCTGCAGTAGGGTTCCCGGGTATGGGGGCTCTGTGGTCACCCTGGTCTACTTTGGCTCTTCTGCCTTCTCCCTTCTTGAAATGGTCTTGACCTAACTTTACCTTTGCATATGAATTCCCACCCAAGGATCTCAACCCTCTACCACAGGAATTTTAATGGGACCCCTAAATTAACAAGAAAGATGTTTTGGTCAGTGTTCCCCCAGAAGGGATGCTGTGGGGTCATGACAACACAGTGGTAGAAATGTCAATAGGGACAGTGGCAGCACTGGATGGTGGCAGCCGTGGTGGCAGGGTGTTGTGGTACAGACACTGTGGGGCATCAGGGCGGGACAATGTAGAAGACAGGATGTCACCAGTGTGCGAGATGGATAGTATTGGTGTGGTAACACAGAAGTGATCCAGACAATGCTGCTCTTAGTCACCATGCTGTTGGTTTCCCGGGGATGATGTGGACTGTGAAGTCCTTGAAGGATGTGATGGGAATGGATGATTTTACTAAAGTTCTGCCATCTGCTCCAAGGACACAAGTGGACAGGGAAGGGACAGCTGAAGAATAGCACAAGTGTTTGTACCCACATCCAAGGCTACACTGCTCATTAGCGCTGAGCCCATGAGCTCCAGAGCCATGTCTGAGGTATCTGAGGGTGCATGGACATGCAATATTAACTGTTACAGGGGGGGACCCAAGACATGTTTGCTACATGACCAGACCAGGAATGCCAGCTGGCTCTGGATGTGACATACAGAGGGTATGAATGGGCCATGTTGGGGACTCACCCATGCAGAGCTGCACATTTCAGGGCTTCTGCTGAGAAGTGTGTGAGGTAGAGGCACGGGCTGGAGGAGAGCCTGTGGAACCGGCCCCAAGCCCAGGCTACACTTGCCCACTGAGGGGCTGCAGGGCCCAGCCAGGGCCCACTTCCCTGGCAGCACTGACTGTGGTAGTGACTCAGCCTGACCCAGTGACCATCTCCTGGTGGGTGAATATCTGGGGGCGCCTGTGTCTGTGGCACTCTTGAGTTCATGGGGCAGAGGTGCCCAAGGGGACACTTCTCTTCTTATGGGGTGGGGAGTGAGAGGAGACAGCTCCAGTCTTGGAGACCCACAAAGATTCGGGCCTATGTCCCTTCCTGGGCCCATCTGGGGAGCAGGTGTGCTCATGACTGAGGCCTGAGCTTCTCGGGCCGGTGAGCATCGCTGGGGAGACAAGTCATTTTTGCTGAGTGTATGTTTGCGAGTGAGTGAGGGGCGGCTGCCTGTTTCTTTGCTTGGGGACCATGACCTCCTAGGGGACACAGCCTTGGAACTCAGAGCTGAGCTCATGTCCGTCTCCACTGGGGTCAGGCCCAGCTGGGGAAGGCCTGGGGTACCCCGGCTAGGCATGTAACAACTGCTGGCTGCCAAGTGTGTGACTTCTGAGATGGAGCTGCCTTGTGGGACCTCGTCAGAGGTGGTAACCGGAGGCTGAGGGCCCTGAATGGGTGAGGAGTCCTCCTGTAGTGTGGTTGGCAGGCAGAGTGGAGCTGCCTCTGAGGATGGCCTGGACAGCTCATCCTGGCTCTCTTCTTCGTCCTCCTCCTCATCTTCATCCAGGTCTGAGTCGGAGTCAGAATCCTCCAAGTCTGAGAACTGGTGCTCCTCCACGGCCTCGGTGCCCTCCTGCCCCTCTGAGTCCTGGAACAGGTCATCACTGGTTCCTGAGGGGAGAACCGGGGGACTCAAGATTACAGCTACCTCAGGTTAATCCCTTTTCACCACCTGCCAACTAGGCATAATGCCATATGGCATACGATCAAGTGACATAGAAGATAGAAGAATACCCTGTAAATAATAGCTCACAATGACCTCACGCCTCAATGTGAAAGTTCAGTTCTGAAGGCTTTACGTGAATTTATGTAGTTCATCAAAGAATCCTGGGATCACTGGGGAGGTGGTTCTATTCTTACGTTCCTGTTGTGGATAAGGAAACTGAGGTAAGGGGGGGATTAAGTAACCTGCCCAAGTAAGGTAGAAGCAGGGCTGGAACTTCATTGGAGCAAACAAGACCATCTGCTTTCTTGTTTCTCAGTGTGGGTTCACAATGCTGTGCCTCAGTCTCTCCTTCTGTCAAAAGAATACAGGCCTGGTGCATAGCAAGGACCTAAATAATTATAGCCCACTATGACCCCATTAATGATGGCATCTATCATTCTGGGATGGGATGTGCTGGCTAGACTGGAAAACAGTCGCAGTCTGTTAAAATGCAAACCAGATGCCAACATGACCAAGCTGGCCTACACAACAGCTTCTGGCAGATGGCAGAGTTTGGCCTCTGTGGGTAGCTGGGCTAGGCTGGCCTCAGTCTGCGGGGTAGGACTCACCCCTGTCATTTCTGCCCTGTGGAGCACTCTGATGCTAGCTTCCGGGTCTGGCTTCTTATGGGGTCATGGCTTCCTTCAGCTGGGTTGAAGCTGTGCCACTATGAATAATCCAGACTGAGACATCTCTGAAATGGGCAGCCCTCTGCACTCTGGGAGATTACCTGGAGAGTTTGGGTTCTGCTGGCCCATCACTAGACTGCTGTGACGTGACCAATATGGGCTGGTGACAGGTGGATTAATGTGTTCAATGTGTGCACTAGTCCTATTAGTCACACACACCAATACTGCATCCTCTCCAGTCCAGGAAAGGTAGACATAGAATCCTGGAGTACTGGCTTTACCTCTCCACCATGCTCAAGGAAAGGCAGCATCAGTATGCTAATACCTTAGTGGTCGGGTACCTGCTCTCATTAGGACAGATCAGGGGTTGCCAGGCAAAGGGAGGACCATGAGCCAGGCCCAGGGCAGCTGGAAGCAAAAGGATGAGAGAATGGGAGGAGACGTAGCAGAAAGGGGGTAGGGGACAAAGCCTCGTATTGGTCCAGGCCCTTATTTCCCTGACCTAGGACTTTGGCAGGAGCCCTGATTGCAGCCTTCAGGATTTACTCAGGCCTGCCCCTCACCCACACAGTGAACCCCAAGCACTGAGAAGGCCATAGCACTCCTGGCTGGGTCA